ACACACACACACAAATACACACCGACACACATTCTTATGTTGCTCACACACAAGACCCTAGGATTGACAGTCAAGCACTTGTTTGACAAGGCAACACTGGAAATTTTAGACAGCTACCCCTACCTGCCTGCCAAACCTGAGGTAGTAGGTCTGTACTGGTGGTTTTCGGTTACGTTTGTCTACTGTATTTTATTTGCCAGAGTCAATTAATGCTGCTTTACAAGAAGAATTTTGACAAAATCAATGTTCTCTTTTGGATTTTCACCTTAACAACGGTAACCAGTGAGTGCACCTGATGAGAAGTGGGGAGAGCCTGTATTTCTGAGGAAAAAAAAAAAATGTCAGTAGACATGATGTCACAGGGTTTCTGCCTAAAAGAGGAAACTGCCACAGTGTAAAGCTGAAGTGAAATAAGTTTTCTACACACTATTTCTGTTTTGCCCCTTCGAATATCTAATGTTGTTCTTTTCCCCCTCTTTCTTTTATCTTTTGTGCTTTAAAAAAAAAAAGAATATGTCTCTCAAACCTGCCTTTTATAGCAGGTCACTGACTTATAATACCAGGAGAGTGTTATGCTCTGTAGAGTCAAAAGTATTCTTTATGATCATTCCAGTTTCCAGCAAGAGACAACAAAAACAGTGCCAAGATCAATTTGTAAATAAAACCAGATCCCATCCATTATGTTATTTTTTGTTTTGTTTTGTTTTGTTTTCTTTTTATGGACAAATACATTAAAACATGCATGGTTTTGTTACTTTGGGATACTAATATATTTTCTTTGGGATTATGTTCTTCTTTTCTTAGGTTTAAATAATATATTCCCAAAAATATATATAAAAGTCAAACACTGTGTACGATTGTACAGTTGTCAGAGAGGAATTTATTGAAAAGAGTTATATCAATATAATAACTGATGATGATGAAAACGATGACGATAATGATGATAGTGGTGACGACGATTACAAAGATGACAAGGAAAATTTCACTACAAAGTTAGCATGAGAGGTTAAAGTGGATCAAAGGAGAACAAGACTGTAGAAAAAAAATGAAAATGAAGAAGCAAACCTTGAAAGTTCAATCTTCCTTGCATTATCTAAGTGGAAATTGTTAAACAGCCAGTCAGTATGATGTGTAAATATACTGTAAGGTACACTCTTTGTTTAAACAAATGAAAATAAAGGTTGAGTTGGGTTACTGCGAGTGAGATAAAGAGAGAGCGAGAGAAAGAGAAGGAGGAAAACCCCACTCCACTCCTCCTCTTACCCTTTCTTTTCAGTTTAGAGTGTGATGTGCAAACAACTCAGCTAAGGGCTTCAGGCTTGACTTTACAGGATGTCCACCTCAACAAAAGACAAAACAATTAAAAAAAAGAAATATAAAAAGGACAATAACTATGAATAAAACAACTTATGCAAATTTCCATGGTGTAGTAAATGTGTTTTTGGGTGGTGGTTGTGTCAAAAGTGCTTTTAATGTGTTTGGGATGGGAATTTTCATAGATGATGGCCCTCCATGCCTCCAGTCTTTCATAATTATGCTGCACCAAATTATTTGTGACGTGGAATAGAACATACTGTCCAAAACCCTTGTTTCCATCCTCAGTGTCCAAAATAATGGCATAAAAAGTGTTTGTCCTCGCCATACAATGTAGCCGCTGGGGCAAGAATAATTCGGACATAAAGTATGCAATTAAATTACTCCTGAATGAACTTGGCCTATGTGTGATGGGGTGACAGCGTACAGTGCCATACAGATTCCACTCTAATTAGTGTATAAACCCCAGCTGACCCCAAGTGTCTGCTGATGGGTCTGTCCCCAAATAAATATACCTTCTGTTTAGCAATTTCTAGTTAAAGAGTTCAATATTGCAAAAGTAACGTGATTTTGTTCAATGCAATATTTATGCGGTGAGGTTTTGGCAAACCTGAACCAATGCCTATAAACTGAGAAACTGTTAACTCTTACACTCAATATGTGTCCTCTGAAAGACATTTAGGCAAGAAATGACACAATAGTTGTGAGGAAACCTGTATCAAGAGGATGTATCTACCACGCAGGCAATCCTTTCTTTTAACGCTCATGTGGTATTAATATTTTTTGGAGTTTAAACATTATTTAAATATTGATAATGCTTTCAGTTCGTCAGACTGGGGACCATACATAAAACATTACAGTACTGTGTGGCTGATGGTTTTAAAAATGATTTTTTTATTAATCTTTTACTTATTTTAGCTCGATTTACATCACTGTGTGAAAAATGTCTTCAGGTCATGGGTGTATTCTTTTGTGAATTGATTTAAGCAACAGTGGGAATTTGTTTGAGAGATGAACATAAATAAAATCCACTGCTGAGAAGGGAGAGTTCTGCTGAAATCATGCCTTGTGACTGTCATGTGGTAGGAGATGGTGCCAACCATAAAAATGACTGAGTTACAGAATGGAAGAGTAGCTGATAAAAAAAAATCAAAGAAGGTATAGAAATGTTCCCTATCTATTTATTCAATTGAATCAGGAAGTAACTTGAAGTGAAATTTTAAGTAGAAATGGTAAACTGGTGGGGGCCTGGGGTTTTTCTCAGGAAGGTTTTATCACAAGGTGGTGCTAAGCAGTTGATGTTGAAGTAATAAACTGGAAATTCACTGCCTGGGAAACATTTACAGCGGCCACTTACTGAAAGTCTAGTTACTCTAGGTGAATTTTCTCCAACACAAACAGCATTACTAATACTGCAAATGCAGAAGTACAAATGCACTAGATTGCCAAATCAAAGAAACACTGTCAGTTACACATTATAAGAGCTATAATACTAAAATTGAACTTTAACCGTTGAGTCTCAATATTCAGTATTAGAATTTCAGCTAGAAAGTTGTACAAAATCATAGAAAGAGAGGACCTCATCTTGATATAATCTACACTGAGCACACAATATTCAAATGTGTACGACTGGAATACCATTAAACCCTATGAAGCAGCTGGACTGCGTTAGAATCCTGCTCGCCAGGTACAGTGGTACAGTTAGGGTTGGGTATCGAACTCTGTAGTAGGGATATTATTAAGGGGTATTAATGGATACCGAATTACCCTCGATCAATCAGTGCCAAATTCTGGTACCTGAGAGTGCATCTGGGTAAGAGAGTAAATTAGAGTAGAGAGACAAAGAGAGAATGAGAGTAAGGTTACGTTGCCCCTGCAGCTTTTTCCAGTCACAGTGAGTCAGGGCTCGCAGACTTTATGATGCAAAATGCAAAGCTGGCCAGGAGAACATGTCCAAACTGAGGAAACAACAGGTCAAACATAAAATATATCCAAAATCTGAAGAGAAGGTTCTGTATAACAAACCATCTGCTGCAGTCAGGTAATTTAATCTTACCTGGTTTATGGCTGAAGGCAATTATAAAAGCAAAGAAGTTTGTATACTTGACACTGATCTGCAGACAAATCGACAACTTACATTGTCACTGAGAAGATTTGCACGTATAGTAGGGGTAAAAAAAAAAAAAGCAAAAGTACAACATATACTACTGTAACACATAATATGGCAGAACCGAGGGAAATGCAGATAAGAGTAAAAGTATCATGTGTCTTGTTTCATACTGAATTATGCAGTGTGTCCTGATATGCAATCCAGGTGCCAGGATTGAGCCATGTTCATTAACAGGTTAAGAATCAGTAAATCAGGAGCAGGTTTGTAAATTTGGATTGGTCTATCTTAAATCTTTATCCAAGTTCATTTACAGCAATATCTCTGAAAGGTTGCCATAACATTTAGGACCCCTACTCCTGTCTTTACTTTTATATTTTGGAAATTTCAAAAGAGCTTTGTCCATAGATGTAAGATTTAAACTGGGGCCATGCCAAACTCAGATTTGTCATCAGCATTGAGACATCCAATAACTAATAAGGAAAAGGGATTGAGGGAATTTCTAAAAATGTAAGTAGTTCACAAACAACCATGGGCACAAATATAAATTCTTGGCCCAATGATGACAGTTCTGAAACAATAAATATCTATAATCCCTGGCATGTTCCACGGCCATGTCTATTTCTAGGCCTCCTGAATCATTCGTTCAACGTTTTTTAAGAAAAAAAAAAGAGAATAGAAGAAGGCCCTTGCCACTAGCCTCTCTTGACCCTTTCCGTGTTGTTGACCAGTGCTTATTTCCCTCTCCACACCCCTCTATAAGATCTCTTCTAAACTGGTTGTCCTCACATCACCACTATCTTTTTCTCTGCTTCCATCTTTCCTCAGCTCCCCTCTATTTACTCCCTCCAGATGACTCCTTCCTGTGTCTCCTCAGTGACCTCAACATTTATACCTGCCCTCTTATCCCCTCTGGCTCTTTTCCCCTTTCCTCTAAGCTTGTCTATCTGTTCCCACCTGCTCCTTGGCTGCAAACCAGCTGTGAAACAAATGGACAAGCCTTCAGGCAGCTGGGAGAAAATTCCTTAAGTCTGGCTTTCTCTGAGGAGTTTTAGTATCTCATCTCCTCTTTCTCTACTGGCAAATTTATGACTTCCAGTCTCCTGCTTCTGACCCACAGAAGCTCATCGCTATCCTCTCCTCTCGTCTCAGCGCTCCTCCTTCTCCTTCCACGGAGATGGTGATGACAGCAGAGGCTCATCTTCCAGGCTACCCTCTGGTCACTGTCTCCTCCTCTGACCCCTCTAACATGAGCTTAATGTTTCCCCTCAACCCATCCTTAATGAAGTCCTAAAAAGATTCCCATGAGCAGACTTAACTTCTGCCCTCTTGAACCCTTCTCCCCCTCCCGGACCATCGCCGCTGATCTGCTCTACTTCCTGACTGATATCATCAACCCCTCCCTGACATCTGGCTGTGAACCATCTGTCTTGAGTCAGATAGAGCCACTGCTCTCGTCTCGAAACCTTCTCTTGACCCGTCTGACATCCATTAGACACCGCTGTCAAGCCCTTCTTCGGCAGTCCTTGGTAATTGCTGTGTGCAGTTTTATCCATACAGAAACTGGCCTTGTATCTAATGCAGCCATTATTAGTCCGATGAAAGACTAAGATATGAAATATTACCAAATATTGAATTATTTTTATTTAAATTATGTTAATTTCTTACTGTGAGAGTCCAGATTAGTGCCTTTTTTTTAAGGTAATCTATAAAAGCCTGTGACATACAGCCAATGAGCTGTTCACAACAGAATTACCATCACATGCCTCTGAAGTGTAATCAATATTATATCGGCAATTTAAGAGCAATATGGAAAATGTTTTATTTAATTTGCTAAAAAATAGGTTAAAGAATTAACTATTAAAAACCTTACACTGTATCATTTCTCTGAAAACTACAAGACTAAAAGTCTACAGCCACGCTCAGCAGTTCTGTAAGCACAAGGCTGCTTTGAGCTAAATGCTA